GAAGAATTTATTTCCTCCATTTCTACTCTGGAACGACTGCACTAAAATATACAGCGCACGGCTAACAAGGGCATGACACTGGGTTTCCACCATGGCACTGAGCTTCGAAAGAGCGGTTCCCCGCTTCTTATAGAGCTTCCAGGGGCGGTTTGTTTTCCACTGTGTGGTAATTAAGCCGCCTCATTTTGCCCGCGTCTTGCGTGCTTTCCTCAGGATGCTTCCAACCCGAGCTTCCAACTTCCTTTAGCTAATGAGGATGGCGTGATGGTGTCTGCAAGACCCCCGTCTTTGCACTTTTCACTGGTTCCACAAATAGCCTCTTTCTGCAGGCCTTAAGAGTTTTCCCCTTATAGGCTTTCCTGGTCGCGAAGCCGATTTTGCGACAATGAGAGAGCCAAGGCTTTAGTGGAATTCGAAAATGGGGAACTTACCGTAACGGTACATGGGGGCATGCAGGTGTATTTATTCCATGCCCTGTTATAATTCTTGTGTCCGCTCATAAATTCACCACACCCTATAGTACCTCTCCCCTTCCCAATAATAGCCCGAACACTTAAGCCTTATGTAGAGTTTTCGGTGGCTTTGACTTTCACTGTGACATTTGGACTGCGCTTTCCGGCTGGACAATATTTGGACGTACTCGGGGGGGGGGGGGAAAGGGTGGCGGTTTCACGAAACTGTCAAGGTCAGCTCCTGTCAACAAATAACAAAGCAAAGCAACGATTTAAAAACGTAAAACCCAATAAAACCTTAGGTTACCGAGATGTTTGCTGGCCTGCTTACCTGATCGGCATTGAGATCCAGATGAGCTTGGCCGTGCCGGTACACGCTGATCGATCGATGGTCCTTCGAGACGACAAAGATTATCGCGCTTGTCAGCTGGCTCAGACACAACGCGGAGTGATGACGAAGTCCTCGATCGCCGAGATCACCCGAAAAGGTCGGCAACGCGAGCTGGTTAGAATGAATCATCGGCCTCCAAGTGAACGTATGCTCGTCGAGCAGCGTGATCAGCAAAGCACCGTCGTGTCCCGGATTGGGTCGTCGCGGACCGATCTTCTCGCGAAAAAGCCGAGGAAGAATTCCGCGTGTGAACGGCACGCGTAGGTCGGCCGCGGACCTTGAAATGTCCGTCAGTACGACGTCGTCGGACGGCGGGCACTCGACGTTCAGGATCACCGTTCCACCAATTCTGCGTCGTGCCATTTCTCGAAGCTCTGACAGAAGCCATCCTCCAACGCTTTCGAAACCATCGATCTAAAGCGGAATTTTGCGCTAAAAGGCGTCACTTTTGCTTTGTGGTATCATGTTCTGTTCGGGCTGGATTGGAGAAAAAAGCCGACGATACTAGGAAAAATTTGGCGGCGGATTTTACTATACACTTAGGTAAGCCACCCCTCGGCGAGCTCCGTTCCCTGTAAGCCCGAAACGGAGCACGGCTCCGTTGTACGCCCTCGTCGTGTCGAGCCCGACCGAGCAACAAAATTGCACGAAAATTTGCCGGTCCGGCTTGGCGCCGTGGCACGTCTTCATTACAAAATTCCAGAAAAATGCCAAAAAAATGAAGCCCCGTGACAGGTGACTAACTATAAATAGTTTTAATGAGCGTACAAAATACATCACTTATTGTTTTGGCACTCTAGACCCCAAAACTGACCTCCGGAGTGGAATTGTCGTATCCAAATGCAGTCCATGGCGCAGGATGTTCGGCATCTTCATCGTTCGAACGCTTGAAAGAAAAGCGGCAGAGCGCAGCACCCATTTGTAGCAGGATACGCTTTCCGAAAGCGACGAATAACGAAAATAAAAACCAGATCCAGCGAGCAATGATGGACATGGAAAACAGAGGCATTCTAGCTGAAAGAACAGTTTGGAGCCGTCGGCGCAGCTAGAAGAAGGAGCTGAATATGGCGCGCAAAACATGGCCGGTAGTCGGTACGAAGGCGGGAAGCCAAAGCTCGTTATCTGTGACCACCGGTCGGTTGATAAACTAGATAATACGTTCTCGTTTATCAGCTGGAAGACTCACAAAATTTTAGGCGTGGACCGCAGGTTGGTGACTTGCTTTTACTCGCAAGAACAGATTGCGCAAAGAACAAGGATAATAAGCTGAAGCTTTCGTCAACGTGCACAAAACTATAGAATATAAGCTAATGAAAAGTTTCCCGCTTTTGGCGTTTTCGCTTATGATGTCGCGTTTTTTTCCACGTGCTATAGTAAAAAAATACGGCTGACGGTGCTAGTTAATTGAGCAAGCACTGTGCAGACGTAAAAGAGGGAGTACTAGTCGATCTAGTAGAACTCTGTCTAGCGACTGTTAGAACGGCTTAATGGATCGGTTCGCGACGGTGATGCGTCATTTGGGTGCAAAACCACGCTTCTCTGTCGCTACATTGCTAAGAATGACCAGGCGAATGAACAAATGTTTTCGTACTGCTGTGATGACAGCAATGTTGAGTCAGTGCAGTAAACGACAGTATGCGAGTACCGTAAATCCTCTAATAGTGGCCCCTTTCCTATTAGTGACCTCTCCTCTAAAAGTGACCCCGTCCTCATAAACCATATAACCTCTTAGGGGTACATGTGTGGAGGTGGATATGCTCCTGTCACTTTGAGATACCGCAAAATCATCGTTGCATTCATTCAGGGCGGGCAGGAAGGAGGGCGGGGGGGGGGGGTTAAATTTCATCCTTCTTTTTCTAGCTTACCTTTCTAGCGACGTCGCAAATTATGCGGAAACTCCCTCGTACTTTACACAATTACGGAGGCATCGATCAATCCAGACTACAGTCAAATATCACCTGTCTCCGTCGCAACCTTTGCCAATTAATGTCTTTTCAGCGTTGTTTTAGAGCACATGTTCATTATAGTTCCAGCTGACATGCTTAACGATTATGGGGAATATAGTACACAAGTAATATCGTCCTAGAATCAAGCTTTACGCAATGTCTAATGGAGTGTATTATCCAACGTGCTCAGTCTTGACTCCGGCTAGCTGCAATGGTAGTTCAGGTCACGCTCCTCACTATAACATAATCATTTTTCCGAATGCGGTTCTACGCAGGGTCGAAGCCATTTTACGGAGGACCAGCTTGACTTTAGGAATAGCTATGGATCCTGTCCTCGACGTTCTGATCATCATAGTCATCCTACCCTTCGTCGCGTTGCAGCTGTGCATGGTCGGTTTCTTGCTTGTTGCCCGCCGCAACGATGAAATGCTGAGGAACGGCTTCTTTACGATCTTCATGGCAATAAGCATAGCAGACTGCATCTACATGACCACGGTAGGATTTCCCCTACGGACGCTTAGATCAAATTTGCATTTGCATGCATTAGACGCGGACACGTTAGGGAGAAAAGCTGAGTTTCGCGTTGTTTACAAGACTTGCTACTTACCTGCTTGGACTTACCTTTCCCAGTCACTAGTTGGTCCCAGTTAGCCTATCAAAAGGCTCAGTCTAAATAGTTGCTGGTCAGGCCTAGTTCCCATACACGTTTCTTAGTCTAAATATTCCCTTTGGCTAACTTACCCGATGACCTGATTAACAAAGAGGACATACAACTGTTTCCACGCGTGATTTGCATTCTCGAGTACGCTACGGTACGGATCCAGAACGCTTCGTACTTGTTATAAAACACCAGAAAAATGAATCCGTACCGTACGGGCGTACTAGAGCTTCACCGTACCATACTTCATACCATGGCTGGGGATTCGGATTCGGTAATTCGGAAATTCGGTCGTTTTGCTTCGGATTCGGACTCGGTTTTGATTTTTAACGTCGCTTCGGATTCGGATTCGGTTAATTTTTTGGAAAGTCCCCAGCCCTGCTCCATAACGATAGTCGGCAGTACGACGCGGTACGGCCCTATGACCGGTACATTCACCGATCTTTTGTAATTCCTCAACGCGCTCGTTTCAGGTTGCGCTATTTATCATGTGCCCAGCTGCCGGCTTTTTCCGAGACTTCTACATTAGCTGCACAGTCTGCCCGAATGTTTTCGTTGGCGTAACGGACTATCTAGCCCAGTTCCAGTTGCTTGCGCACACGGCTATCGCTGTGAACCGCTTCACCTGCTTTGGATCGGAGCTCATTCACGAGCGTTTATGGGAGGGAAGAGGCCTGAAGCTAATCGTATTCGGTTTATTTGTCGCGTCCTTCGCGCTGATGGCGTACGAGATCCCCTTCAAAGCTCACTACATCCGTACGCGAAGTGGCTCGCTCAACGGCATCGTGCTTGACGATGTAACGCTGGACACGGTAAGCAAAGCGACTATTGTCAAAGCTAGCCCCTGAAATTTTGCGCCCTTATCGATGTTAAGCGGTCAACTTTAATGAGTTGGGATTCGGCGTACAAGAAATCAACTAAATATTGTCAACCAAGCCGAAAGTACGGTACCATACGAGTAGATAGTACCCCATCGTACTGACGTACTACCGGTACGGAGCATACGGTAGAGAGCGACTGCCGTACCGTACTACGGTCCGTACCGTACTGCGTACCGTATTCAACGGTACGGAGAACGGTACGGCTCTAGGTCAGTACGGGTTTCCGTACCGTACTGGTACGGTACGGCATGATTTTCGGTAAAAAATGTACTAGTACAGCAGTACGGTACGGCGTTATACGGCAGTACCGTATTCCGTGCCGTAGAGTACGGTATGGAGTACGGTACGGGGGTGTAAAGTCGCACTCTAGCATACGGGTACGGGCGGTTGGTACGGTACGGCTTACGGTATCTACAGTTCCAGATATTCAGCACTAGTACGGCTCGTGCTAGTACCGTGCCGTACCGTATTACGGCCCGCACTACCGTAATGACCGGTACGAAGTACGCTATAGCAGACTTTGACGACCGTACCGTATTCCGTACCGTAACGTACTGCGTACCGTATTCTACGGTACGGAGTACGGTACGGGTATGGGTCATTACGGGGTTGCCGTACCGTACTTGTTGGGAACTTGTCGCTGCCCCAGGAGTTGGCGTCCGCGAAAAAATGTGGACCCGTGCGCGGGAATCGAACCAGAGCATACCTGAAGCGAGAACAGATTAGAAGTCGGTGGCGCTATCCACTACGCCACGGGTCCCACGCGTCGGCGAGTGCTCCCGGGCGCCCTCATTCCGTCGGTGGTCGCTGGTCGATCGCTTGCCGCTGGTCCGTTTCTCACATCTCCGCCGCCTCCGCAGCTCCGAGCCCCATCGGAGCGTTCTGCG